ACCTAAAATGGGTCTAGGCAATGAAAGCTGAAGTTGATGCACTTGAATCAAACAAGCCTTGGTCCATAGTTCATCTTCCTTCGGGTCACCGCCCCCTTGGATGTAAATGGGTATTCAAAATCAAATACAATTCCAATGGCATTGTTGAAAGATACAAAGCTCGCCTCATTGCCAAAGGCTTCACCCAACGATGGGTTATTGATTATACAGAGACATATGCCCCCGTTGCCAAACTTACGACTCTCCAATTCCTTCTTGCTATTGCCCCAGTCTGTGGATAGAATCTTCATCAAATAGATGTCCAAAATGCCTTCTTACATGGGGATCTTACTGAGGAAGTCTACATGCATTTTCCACTTGATTTTTGTTAACAGAGGGAGTCACCATTGGATGTCGACTTCACAAATCCCTGTATGGGTTAAAACAAGCCTCACGGTCATAGTTCCACATATTTCTCTTTGTCATCTGCAAATTCAGCTTTCAACAGTCACAGGTTGACTAAACTCTTTTCATAAAGGTTTGTGGAGACTCAGTTACAGCTATTCTTCAATATATTGATGATATGATTATAACAAGAAATGATCAAAGGGCCATTGACAATGTAAATAACTTCATTGCATCTTGCTTCAAGTTAAAGGACCTCGGATTATTGAAATATTTCCTTGGGGTCATAATAGCCTGGTCTAAAATGGGAATCTCCATCAACCAGCAGAAGAACACTCTTGATATCCTTCAAGACGCTGGGCTACTCAGGGCAAAACCTACCAAATTTCCTAAGGAACAATCTCTAAAGCTTACTTCTACCGATGGTGATTTACTCAAAGACCCAATACATTATCGGCGATTGGTCGGAAAATTAATTTACTTGACCATCATGAGGCCATAAATCTGCTTTTCAGTCAACACTCTTAGCCAATTCATGCAAGAGCCTAGAAGGTCTCATCTTAACGCCACTCATCATCTACTTCGATATTTGAAAGGGTCACCAGGACAAGGACTATTCTTTCCCTCAGAAAACAATCTGAATTTGATTGAATTTTGTGATGCAGATTGGGCCAGGGATATTACTACACATCGATCAGCAACGGAATATTGCATTTTTCTTGGGAAATCACTTATTTTCTGGAAAAGCAAATAGTAGGACTATAGTATCTAAATCTTCAGCTGAGGCAGAATATAGGTCTATGGTCTCTATTACTTGTGAGTCAACTTGGATAAGAAAATTATTGCAAGATTTGTTCGTTAGTTATACTCAACCCATGACTTTATTCTGTGATAACCAAGCAACGATGCAGATGGCTGCTAACCCAGTTTTCTATGAGAGAACAAAGCACATCGAGATCGACTGTCACATTGTCCGAGAATGGATTGACATAGGAAAAATCAAAACAACATATATATCAAGCGAAAACCAAGTTGCAGATTTGTTCACTAAACCATTAGGCAAAGTCCCTATTCACACACTTACCTGCAAATTGGCCATTCTTGACATACATGCTCCAACTTGAAGGGGAGTATTAAAGGAAACATATCTCCATATACCAGCATAGAAGGAAATTGCCGTCTGTAATGATTTGTAATTTTATTGCCATATTATTGTTTACTCCATTCCTTATGTAATTGATTAGAGTTAGGAAGGTTAGCACTATATATGTAGTGATATTGTATTGATGTAATGATTCACAAGTAGTAAAACACAGCTCCTTTATTCTCTTTCCCAAAACACCAGACTTCTCATAAGATTTCACAGATTCCGCCCATCATCTGCGGTCGGCGGTGGTTGTAGTAGAAGTGCGAGAGAGTTAAGAAAAAGAAAGAGATTCGGCCTTGGGGTTGATGCAGCCAACCTTTTGATTTCTGTTGGTTTCGTTGTCAGAGTGTGGTGGTGGGGAGAGAGAGAGAGATGTATTGTGTCGATCAATTCTTTAATGTAACGAGGAAGATGAAAGGTTTGTTTTTTTTTTTTTAGAAAAACATGTGAATTACATTTTTTTGTTTAAAATTAAAATTTAATATTTTGTCGCGTAGGATATTGATTGTATAGTTTGACATTATTGTGAAGTGACAATTTTTTATACATTGATTTTAACAATATTTTAAAGAATTAATGACACAAATTTTGGCACATCTTAGAATGTCAAACTTATTGACACGGATTTTAACTAGTTTGATTATTTTAGTATTGCTCACCTATGGCCCATTTTGCGATTTAAATATTTTTTTAAAAAGAATTGATTTTTGCTGTATAAACTTGTTTATTTTTACACACCTTTCTCACGATATCTCTCACACATTTAGCCCCCGATTAATGGCCATTATTTGAGATTTTCAATATTTTAAATAGTGAATTTTTGGAGAATGTGTAGTTAAAAAGTAGAAAAAAATTTGGGTTTACGTGCATAATATTTTATATGTGACCGTGTGATTGAAAATGAGTATGTAAAAAAAAGAATTTTGAAATAAAGGACGTGGGCTAATTATTCATATTTTCTTCAATTATGACTTAGTTTAAATTGCAATAAATTTTGAAAAAGTCATTGGGTTGGACAAGTCAAGCCCACAGTTTAGGCTTGACTGCGGGTGGACCTCATCCTTAAATTTGGAAGATGGTACAAACATATTTTTAGAGGAAATTACATAAAACTAGGGGTTTAGTTTGACTTTTTTAAAAATCAGGTTTTAAGTTTAATTTTGCAAAAATCAAGTAGTATATTAAAACCCTAATTCTTAACCTAATTTATCAATTTCGTATCCACCATTCCCGTCGCCTCCCCTTCTTACTCATCTCCTCTCCTCCACCTTCCTCCCGTCTCCACCTCCCTCATCTCTTCCCTCTCCAATTATCCTCTGCACCTTCTGCATATCCAACATGAAGCCCCAGCAGGCTCTTGATAGTAGCATCTAAATTATTGCCAGATTCTTCCAAAACTTTCTCAAAAAGCTCACTATCCATATCAGGAAACAAAGCCTTGAGTTGATCAATAAGACTCCTCGACGGTGAGTAGGAGAACCAAACTGGGGAGGTGGCGGATGAGCAGCAACGTTTCTTGGAAACTAGTGGTGACCCCGACATCAGCGTGACGTTGTTAGTATCTCTTCGAAGAAAGATCGCTTTCTGCACACTATTGCAGACATTATTCAAATTTGATATAGATGAATAAATTAACGAATCCCTCTTTCCAGTTTTCTTCTTTTCCCGACTAAATTGAATCAAATGAACAAATAAGGAATTAGGATTAGGGTTTGGACGGTACCTTTGAAGGTGATGGATAGTGGTGTGGCGGTGCTTGGTATTATAGTTGGTGGTGATGACGATTTTGTTGTTGGTTTTGCGCAATGGCTGTGGCTGTGGGGGCGGTCGGCGGTCGTGGGTGGGATGAGATGGGTTGGGGGCAGATGTCTGTGACCTAAAAATTGTGACTGTGACTCACTGTAATAGAGTTGTGACCAGTAAAATTTTTGATTCTTTTCAATCTGTGACCTATAAA